AAATAATACTTCTCTTCAAACTATTTTACAAATAATTATTCATAATAACAACTCTCAAAACTTAACAAATACTCTTTTACTTCTTATTCAAGGCATTATCCAAATATCTCACTATGACCAAATCAACTCCATAATCAAAAAAACAACTAACAACTTCTTCATCAAGCTCTCTAATTCTTTACTTTCCTAGTTCAATAATTAAATCTGGAATAACAGAAACCAAATTCATCATGAATAGTAAATTGCTCATGGTATCTCTTAAAAAATTAAAAAAAATACAAACTAAATATACTTTTCTTAATCTATATCTAACCAAACCACTACTATAACCTATAATACTAATATAGATACTTATATTCAAAAATGTTTACTTCAAAACTTTTCTATATATAACTGTTTTTTCTAATTAATCTTCTTCTTTTCCTAGAGGTCTCCCTTAACCTTCTCTATAGTCGATAGTAACTTTGTTTAAATCAGCTAGCAAATAGAAAATGAGGATATAATATCACACTGGATGTCTAACTATTAACAAATAGTCTTAGTAACAACAATGCACATTAGGAATATACATTAGCTTCACATATATACCACCCTGATATATAAATGTACTAATTCTTTTTCTAACTGATATTATCAATTAATAAAAAAAAAATAAAAAAAAAAAAAAAAAATTAGTAAAATCATTTAGAGGAAGAGCTGATGCAATCGAAGCTGAAGCTTCAGAGGCTAGTTATGTAGAAATTTTTTTATAGTTGCTTTAGGTAACATAACGAAGATCTGGGAAAATAGAAAAAGAGCATTTGATTCTATTGCTATTCTATTAATATCATTATCAATTGTGATACTTGATGTCATTATGATCATTAGTATATAACTCAGAGTATAACTAGAAGTATAATCTAGAATATAACCTGAAGTATAACTTGGAGTATAACCTGGAGTATAACTCAGAGTATAATCTAGAGTATAACTCAGAGTATAACCTGGAGTATAACCTGGAATATAACCCTAAGTATAACCTAGAGTATAACCTGGAATATAACCTGAAGTATAACCTGGAGTATAACTCAGAGTATTAATTTAAGGCATAACCCGAGTTGGGTTGGAGTGAAACTTGCTCCATTTAATTTTAACCTAACCCATTCTACTCTACTCCATTAACAACCCTATATATTCTAATTAATCTGCTTTAAGAATTGCTTCTATAGCTATACTCTGAATTGTGAGAATCACAAAGCTATTGTAAAAGCATTACAAATATTTTTAATAAATTTTCATATTAGTTGTTCAACAGAAAAATTTTCTTATTAAAGTATATAGGAGTTGTTGAAGTAGTTTGTATGTTTAAATTCGAAGGAGCCTAAAAGTGAGTGATATAATGCTAAGAAATCTGCAGTATTGTTGAATTTATTATCACTATGTGCTTGAACTTTATAAAAAGTAATATTAATATTTTGTGACTTAATAAAGTTAAGCAAAGTTTCTTAGATTGGCCAATAATTGTATTTTGTTTTAGTGTTATAGTTTTTTGTATATTGTTGAGTTTTGTTAAATTTGGAAATTACAGATTATAAGTTAGTAAAAATCTGTATATTGCAGTTTTTTGGTGCTGTACTTATAGCTGAGAGTATTGTAACAAGCTCTGCTTTATAAGATAGAGGCTATATTTTGATTTGTACTGTGAATATTTGAACTATTTGGTTGTTGTAAATTTGAACTCAGCCAATTCCCATAGAGTATTGGTTTGTACAGATATTTTGTACTGAACCATTAGTATAAAATATTAGTTCTTGTTAGTTCAAGTTTTATAGAGATATATTATATAAATATTGTGAAGTTTCGTTAAATTCAAATATTTTAGTTATATAATTGTTTTCAAAATCTCTAGAGAAGTAGAAAGTTATCAAATATCTATAACATGATTAGAAAATATATGACAAGCTAAGCTAAACAAAATTAATGCTAATACATCTGTTTTGGCTTATATAGATAACACATTTTGGATTGCAAAATCCAAAATATAGATTAATGAAATAATTAATATTGCTACCTCTTTCTTTCAAATAGCACATATTCAAGTCAATTCTAACAAATCAATTCTAGTTTCAAATACTATGAATCTTTATAGTATTCAATTTATCAATTTAACTATTACACTTATCTCTACAAAGATACTATTCAAATTTTTTTTTTTTTTTTTTTTTTGTTATTAAGGCCACTTCCTTGGCTGATTAGATTTTTATTAGTTTGTTATTACAGAACTATCACATGAATAGTTTCTTAAGGTTTTACAGTTACATGATGAGTGTATAGCAAGCCATATGTACAACTTTAGTTATTGTCTAATTTAAGTAGTCTGCCATACAGACGATCGACTATCTGTTGGTTCTACACTATGCTGTCATACCTGCAACCTGCCTGTGAGTTACTTATTTAAATACTCTAATCATTAACTCTTCTCCTCATCTTAAACTAACATCACTACTATGACCAACTGTTGATGCTAGCTAGCTCACCCGCGAATAGTGATCCAAATTGTTAGTTAAAAAACCAACTAGTTAACAACTTTCTAATTAATCAATTTGGAAAATTTTGAAACAACTAATCGATTAAATTATCAACTAGTTAAATTCTGAGATATTCCGTCTATTTGAGCTGATTCGTATTAATTTCTTTAGTTAGATTAGCCAATTAATAAATTTAGTCATATGATAGGAAAATTGATTAGTTGTAACTATAGTTGGCAACTAATCAATTAGAAAAATTTTTACTAACTCGGAATACTACCTGTAGATCTATTTCTCTGCATAGCTTAGGTACTCTCAAAATACGTATGCCCAATGTATTGTGAGCTGCAGAGCTCCAGTTAACCTCAGAAGTAATTCTTACCAGAGTAGTCATGTACCTATTTCACAGATTTACCTGAATTAGACCCTTGTTGATATTTGTACAAATCTAGTTCCTGCTATAGCTGTCCACCAGATATAGTCCTCTAAGTTCTAGCCAGATGTTTCATGAGGTAGATCCTCCCAATCTAGTTAGCTGCCAAGCCAAGTTGGTATTGCTGCTAATGCAAAGTACCAGACTGCATTACACAGTGAACTTACTCACACCTATTGATCTCACATCTTTTGTACTCAGGTTTTTCACTAGATCAGATGTTAACTGGCTTGATTGTCGAAATTCATACTACTTCACCAAACTCGGAATTTCTATCATGCAGGTCCTCTGTCTGTAGATCCTATCAAGATTTATTCGTATAACATAACTCGAGCATTGCGTCATACTTCCAATATCCGATTGACATTAGTGCAACATAATTTACAGAGTTGTAACCCTCAGAAATGAGCAGAATTTACTGTAAGTTGGGTACAAAGATTCAGGTAATTATTCAAATTCGTCAATAGTGGGATTTGAACTCCAGACCTCTTGTATGGTGGTCTGGCAACCTAACCACTATACTAAGATCGCCAGACCTTATATTGATACTTTTTTATTTTTAAAAAAATTTTTAAGATCTGTTATACTTTTCTTAAAAACAATAGATAAATATTCTCTTTGTAATGTATCTGCAGCTGGTATCGCATCTTCTTCTCGGACATTTTCTCTAATCCAAGGTTATAGTTTATTAGCTTTTTCAAGTAGAATATTTGCTTCAACTAATGCTTTTACAAATGAGTTAACAATACCTTTTCTAGATTCAGCAGCTTTTATAGTTGTTGTAAGTATTAATTGCTGTGATGAGTTATTTGTATGTTCTACAGTAGCTTTTTTTTTCTTATGATCCTTACTTTCAATATGTGCTATTATTTTTGAGTGAATAGTGTAATTAATACTGCGATAGCAAAATCTATACATAAGTTTATCACTATCTTTATAAAAATTATCATTAAATTCAAACACTCGACTATTTAATGTAATTCCTTTTGAACTCATTTTAAAAAATGTTTTATTTGTTTCTTAAAGATGAATGCATTTATTTTATACTTTATTTATATATTTTTTTTTATATTTTTAACACATACTAAAAATTTATTTTCGCAGTTTATTATACTACTAAAAATTTATTTTCACAGTTTATTATACTACTAAAAATGGATTTATTTAACACTTTAATATACTAAAAATTTATTTTCACAGTTTATTATACTACTAAAAATTGATTTATTTAATACTTTAACATACAGCTAGAAATTTATTTTGCACTTAACATACTACTAAAAAATTATAATTTATTTTATATATCAATATACTACTAAAAAATTAATTTTTTTTCATTCAGTTCTATTATTATCAGTTTTTATAATAGTCAAATATATAGGTTAAATCAATGAATATATCTGATATTAAAATAATATAAATGATGTAAAATTATACAATTTAGTACGATTTGGTTTAATCACACTAAATCACACAATTTCTGTGTTTCTGTTTGAAACTAATTTTAGATTAATACTATACTTTCCAAAACTAGTTTCGAGTAGGTTTCATTTCAAGTAACATGTAAAGTTAGAGTGATCATCAAACTAATAAAATCAAACTATAAGTAGCCATACATATAATTATTATTATGTGAGGATTTTTTATAGGTTTTTTAATAATTTTGGAAAATTAACTTCTGCAAATATTTTCTTTATCAATATAACTAACGAAGATATAATTTTCTAGTTAACTACATAAAATTTTCATATCAAATTTTTTTTTATTTTGTAGCTCTCATTCCTATCTTTTTCATAACAACCTTAGTTTTTTGAATTTTAATAAATTTATTGTTGTTACATTTTAGGTAAAGCTTC